CTTGGGGTCTAGCAGTAATAATTACAGAGTTATAGGATGTGAAAAATCGAGATTTTTCAACTTAATTTTTTGTGTCGAAACTATTCATAATTGGTCAAAACGGTTTCCATGTCCCTATCTTAATTTTTCACGTACTATCAATTGATATTTAATTGAAATAGATACAGGGTGGTCAAAAATCTTAATTCTGAATCACCCTGTATTTATTTCAATACAGGGTGGTCAAAAATCTTAATTCTGAACCACCATGTATTTATTTCAATTAAATATCAATTGATAGTATAGTACGTGAAAAGTTGAAATATGGACATGAAAACCGTTTCGACCAATTATGAATAGTTTCGACACAAAAAATTCTTAGTTGAAAAATCTCGATTTTTCACACCCTATATTTTTATTATCATTCCCGCTAGACCCCAAGTGTGATAGATCGATGAAATCAGCTCTTCAGGGAGAATCTGAAAACGGAATGATATACAGGGTGTCCCATTGAAAAGAATCAAAGTTGTTGCTACTTTTCAATATAAGCGGCCACGTCACAGCGCTGTGAATATTTTAGGTCGATAGAACAAAACTAATAATTCAAGGCACCAACTTTTCAGAATAATCCTGAGTTGCGTTCTGTAGAAACGTCTAATGTGCCATCCACCGTGAATCAGCCTGTATAGTATTTAAGCACGAGCAGAGCAGTGTCTAGAAGAGTTTATGAACGCGTTACATAATATGCTTTTTCCGCCTTCGCTTGCCGGTCGTGGGTTCGAGTCCCGTCGACTGCAGAAATTTTTCTGATGGCCCAAGAAAGTGTTTGGGATCACACGTTAAAAGGTAAGGCCCCCGTCATTCCTTGCTCGCACAAGACTCTCGAAGACTTCTGAGGGTTGCTCGTAAGGGGGCAACCGAATGACGGATAGAACAATTTTTAGAACAATTCAGCATCCTTCAATGGGAGCGAAATTTGGAAAATTTTGATGGGCAAATGAGTCATAACAACATTAATTTTCGTAAAATACATTTTTTTATTACTTTTTCAAGACAAATTCTGAAAAGCGGCAACATCAACACAAATGTTGGACGTCATCGATGTTTCTGTTAGATATTTGAACTCATAACACAAATTCTCTTGTATAACATCTAGAACCTAGAATGTTACCTTTATGGAAGGTCTTTGAGTTTTGTGTGCCTACGGCAATGGTGATCATGCGCACATTGTCGGCAACATTGTCTGTTTTATATATTCTCATACGCAAATCTCATATTAATGCATTAGGATTTAGTTTATATTTCTCATAAAACTTCTTGTAACTGATGATCAACAGCTTCACAATTATTATGTATCAAATTTTCGCGACAAAACTCATAGACTCACTGATATCAATTGAATGGCTAACAAGCAGAGATCGGTGAATTATTATGAACTTCTAATTTCTTATGAGTTCATCTGGCAACTGTGTAAAAATGTACCCCTGTCATTTTGCCTGACCTAGACTTGAGACAGAGCCGGATTAGTTTCAGTTATTCAGAGTTTTACTTTGTGTCGAACGTCTTTCGTTAGTGAATTTGAAATTATTGAAGAGTTTTTGTATTTTACTCTTGTTTGGGTAATGGGTGGTTTATTGTAGTCATAGTGACAAGTACAGTAGTTTCGACATTAATTGACTGTCAAGATAAAGAACACATTCCAGGAATATTTTACTTCAGGTAAATTTATATCGTCAACAAGCTTGTGCTATTATACTATATTTTTTCTATAGCTATAACATGAAATGGCTCTTGTTTCACTGTGTTCGATAAATCAATGAGGTACTTCGAATGCCATCATATTTCCGTATCTGATATCACAATGACTTTCATTGTGTTATTATTTCACAAAATCTCATCTGGAATGTCAAATTTCAAGCCATGACAGGTTTGTCTGATAGAAGAGCATTACCTAAGAGAAAATGCTAATTTCCCACTCATATAATTTAGAGCATTCGCCTACGGCTCATTCCGTGCTCGGCAAGAAGTTACAGATCTCTGGAATTAATGACATTGAATCAAATTTTAGGCTAACCAAGAGTTGCCACGTTGCTTGGATGATTGCCTTGGAGTCCTGTTTTTTTATACAATTGAACTATCCATTTTTCGCGAGGTCTCGGTTTTTTTTAAATTAATGAACTTGTAAACGAAGCCCCAAATCGAAATTCCAGAAGAGTCCCTTTCTTTCTGAACTGAACAGGGAATTTGCAAAAATATCTCAATTCTGAAAAATTTTTAGTGGTTTAATAAATGTTTTGCTCTTCCAACAAAGCCGCAAAAACCTGATAATCAAATAATTCTGCATCCACCCCTGGCATGATCTCGTCTTTAATGGGCAAGCTCACATTTGCCGTTCAGGCCACGTTAGGTAACACTCGGATATAACAATAAAATAAGTTAAAAACTGCCCTTACGATGAGTTTGCCACAAAATTATTAATATCATGACATGTCGATTATGACACATGTCACGTCGTGATCACTGGTATTAGTGGTATAGTGGCAAATTAAAAAAATACTATGGAGATTAGGGTTAGATAGCATGGTATCGAAAAAAAGTTATTTAAAAAAAAGCTTAGACTTTCTTTTATCTCTTGGAGTGCACGAAACGATAGTCCTATGATGTTCGAAGATTATCGTGGGTACCTAGGAAGGATAAGGAGAAGGTAGGTGTTGGAGTTTTTTCGAACTTTCGGAGGTTATAAGTTAATTTTATGCTCACGTACAGAGCTTCAAGCAATCACTTAAGCGAATCGAAATTAGCTATATTTTTACATGTTTCGATCTTGTTTCAATTATACAGGCTGATTCACGGTGGATGGCTCATTAGACGTTTCTGGAGAACGCAACTCAGGATTATTCTGAAAAGTTAGTGCCTTGAATAATTAGTTGTGTTCTATCGACCTAAAATATTCTCAGCAATGCGACGTTGCCGCTTATATTGAAAAGTAGCAACAACTTTGATTTTTCAAATGGGAGACCCTGTATATTATTCCAATTTCAGATTCTTCCTGAAGAGCTGATTTCATTGACCTATAACACTTGGGGTTTTGCTCTTCCAACAAAGCCGCAAAAACCTGATAATCAAATAATTCTGCATCCGCCCCTGGCATGATCTCGTCTTTAATGCGCATGCTCACATTTGCCGTTCAAGCCACGTTAGGTAACACTCGAATATAACGATATTGGCATTCTAGGTCTTTGAGTTCTGTGTTATGGAATGAAGCAATGAATCTTTTCCCTAAATGCCATTCTACAGGGTGTCCCTAAAATGTTTCACATATTCCTCAGACCAAAACAATTTGATACAAGCAAACTTACCTCAGTACAAAGTTGTTTGGTTTGGACGGCTCTGGAGTTATAATTTTCAAATTTTTTTTGCTTCATAACTCTGAAATGGCTCATGAGATTTCAGTCAAATTTGGTAATTATATATCATTATTATGATGAATATCATTCTATGGGCGTAGAACTTGTTTTTTTCAGTAAATAAACATCTGAAACATCTACGCCAATGAAAAGAAAGGGGTTTGAACATAAAATTTGGATTGTGTAACTTGTTTAATACAAAAATTTACTCAAAATTCGATTACTCTCATGGTTTTGGACGGAGTTTGAATTTCAGTTATCAACGCATCTGTTAACATTAAAGCGATCAACAGATAATCCATAAAAATTGTACGAGATTTCCACGTATAAAAAAATCATATGACGAACAGAATTGAAATGTGCTATCAGCAATTGAACCTTGTTTTTTTTTTGTTCTGAGTAAGCCATAGCCGTCTAGCTCCCAGACTGAGCAACTTTGTACTGAGAAGAGTTTGCTGGTTTTCAATTTTTTCATCGTATGAATCTTCGCGAAAATGATGAACATTTGAACAATTTCAATGAAGTATCTGTTAATCGTTTTAGTGTTGACTGATGCTCTGAATTACTAAAATTCAGATTTTATCGAAACCATGAGTGAAATCAAATTCAATCAGGAGTACCTTTATTTTGTAGTGAACAAGTTACGCAAACAAATTTCATATTTAAACCCCTTTCTTTCCGTTGGCGTGAAAGTTTCAGATGAATATTCACTGAAAAAAATCAAGTTCTAAGCCAATGGAATGATATTCAACATAATCATGATATGCGTTTCATTGCCCAATAAAGCCATACCAACGTACCAGATTTGAGTAAAATCTCGTGAGCCGTATCAGTTATGAAGCAAAATCAATTTGAAAATTGTAATTTCAGAGCCCAAACTGAGCAACTTAGTACTGAGAATGATTTGTTATATGGATTCGAATGTCTAACAGAAACCGCAATCATAATTTGTCTGAAAAGTTCATAAAAAATGGTACATTGCGAAAATAAATAATTTTATAACCTTGTTTCCAATCAAAATTTTCCAATGAAATTTTGCGATTTACCTGATTGAATGCTTCTTAATCCAGAGGTGGAATCGAATTTTCTTGATAAAGGCGCTATTGTCATTTCGCAATTTTCAACAAGAAATCAAAAACATAGTATACTCTGAAAATTGGAATTGTGTTTCGCAAATTTGTTTGAACGTAGACCTTTTGATATTTTTCTGCAGAAACAAAATGGTGCTCTAGTCTCAAGTGAGTCACACTGTATATGGTTAACGTAAGTATAATTTGTTCTCTTCTTCAAACAACTCAAATGATGTTCGTGAATGCGGATCCATAATTCAGTTTGTATACTCCAATATTCGAATTTAGAAGTTTTGTCTATAGTAATTATTTTTGATAAAGCTCCCCAACGTGTTTTTTTTTTCATATATAAGCAACTCTTCTTTTGCACGGAGGCAAGTTCTCTTGCATTGAATAGTTTGAATAGGTTTTCTCACAAACCTTGTCAGAACACCCTGTAAATGCTGTAAGGGCAACAAATATGGTATTTCGCCTGAAAAACTAGTTGCCAGCAAAACTTCCCGAAAAGAAAACTCCAGATTCACTCCACTACCGTAACAAACACCTACTTCAAACCTTCGGCATACAAGCTCAACACCCTGTGTATAAGTTCGTACTGTTCCGCGGTTTGCACCATTCCGCCCCTGTTTAACCTCAACGAACACAAAATGGCCAGAACGTCGACGTTTTTACTACATTTCAACTGCTGGATACCGTTCAAGATACCCAAGAAACACCCTGTACGTCCGATACCAGCGCTGCAATGAACAATAACAGGTCGTTTGACGTTTTCACAAGATTTTTTGCGTTCCTGAGGCTTTTTGATCGTACGCAGTCTGTTGAGATCAGTTTTCCTTTTTGTACTAATAGAAAGAGATTCGGCGTTATTGTCACAATTTTTGCTAGCCTCCATCTTGTTCGCCTCCATTTTGTTCAAGACGTCCGAGGCTATGTCTAGGACTTGTTCGGGGCTGGCCATCTTGTGGTCGGGCCAGCTGAGGAACCAATAATGGTGGATTGTTCTGCTTTCTGTGGCTTCGTCGGTTTTCCTCAGTGCCAATCGCCTCAGCTGGCATTCACCTATGAAAATACTCCTTTTAGAGATCACCCGATATGACTGTGATGATTTGATGACAAGAATTATAGTTTGGTTCTCCAAAAACAAATTGTAGGGGGTATATTTTCATGAGTTAGAGCAATCTACAGGGTGTTGCGAAATTCGACCGACAACGCTTGACAGGTGATAGCCCTTGTGATTTCATGATCACTGAGACAGGGACATACGGTCTTCAAGTGTTCAGTTCTCGATATACAGGGCGTTGAAGTTCGCAATATCTCAAGAAAAATTGAATATATTGTATTCAAATTCGGTATTCAAATTCGGTATATGGTTTCATCCCTCAATGGTTAATCTCGAGATAAACTAATAATAATGATAATAATCTTTGTTATTCCCAAGAAACATATTCGCGAGATTCACGAAGTGGGCGACATCTAGGTTACATAATACGAACTTAAAACTGGGGGAAAACAAACTGTTATCTATGGATAAAGTGCATAGACTACATTGCATACAGCTTGCTGTAGCTGTAGTTGTCAAACTTGTCAATGACAAAGTGTTGGCACTGTTGTTGAAAACTCATCACTCTTATCAGCACACAGTACACAAGCTAATGACACTAATGGGATTGAGTGAGGATTGAGTTTGTTTTCCACCAGTTTTGACGTGGCTTTGACATGGAACGATGAAAACCGAGCGCCACCTTGTAACATTGATTCCCGCGAATATGTTTATAGCAGGGAAAATTGAGAAAGAGCAACTAAAAAAAAATTAGATAATCAGATAATCATCTTTAAATCATATACATAGTATATATAATGTTGTTTCTTCTGGAGACTGTTGGATATAAGTTCTCGAATTGATTCAGGATGATATAAGAGAATCAAAGACATGAGTATTTTTCAAGTTCTATTTTAAATTTCTCAATACTTAATTTTGTCTTCAGTCTGGTAGGTAATTCAATATAGAGAATTGTTCTATTGTATAAAATAGATCTTTTACCCATATCTGGTTTAATTTTGATGAGAGTTAACATATCTTTTTGTCTGGTTATGTGTTCGTGTTTATGACTATTGACATCAAAATTAAGATTTGACTATTTATGATAATTATATTTGATGGAATGGATGAAATTTAATATTTTGTATTTGTAAATGGAGTTAATATCTAACAATTGCCTATGTGTATAAAGATATCTTGTTGGTTCCAAGTAATCTAATTTGCATATACATTTAATAACTTTGTTTTGAAGGATTTTGATTGACTTTATAATTGATAATCTAGCTGTACCCCACACTGAAATCAAGTATTGTAATTTTGAATAAACAAAGAACAAATATATACTTTTTTAAGTATTTCAAAGTAATTTGGTGTCTGATCTTGTAGAGTACTCCGATAACTGGATATATTTTCTTTTTGATCGATTCAATATGTTTGGACCATGACAAATGTTCATCAAGGAATATCCCAAGGAATTTGATGGCTGTGGAATATTTGATGATTTCATTATTAAATTTGATATCAAATTTCAGGTCACTTGAGAGGCGTCGTTTAGAGATATACATGAATACTGATTTGCTGTAATTTATACTCAATTTATTATAGGACAACCATGCAGATGAAACACTATTATCAAATATGTTTCCCAAATGATACGGACTTTATGAATGCCACTGTATAGATAGGCTTCACTCATGAAGATATTGCTACCTAAGAAGAAGACGGTCACAACTTGAAAAATCGAAAAATTTGGTTATTTACATAAATAGATTGCATAGATTAACTGAACAACGGTCACAACCCAAATACATGAGACTTATACTGGAGGGCTTTGCTATCGAACGGCATAAATAGAAATTCATAGGTATGCTCTCTGCAAGAGTAACATTTTGAGGAACACAATTCATCTTATTCGTCTTTTTCATAATGGTATCGTAATTCATGTGAATATTTTTCGTGAATTGGGTATCAAAATGAAAATATGCCAGTCTTCTTATTGATTATCCAGTGTTCTTGTTGTTTTAATCCTTATAGTATCCATTCAGTCCTATTTTCTATAATTTAGAAAATCTCATCCTAATTCGAATTCCATCTTAATTTATATTTTTTCTTATCAGATTCGTCTGCAACATATTGAGTTTTAAATTGAGTAGAAAAGAATTCATAAGGAATTAATAATAGTTATTAATACATGCACTAAGGTAGTGAAGAATATCATTATTCCCTAGTAACCAAGATTATAACCCGAAGTTCTAGCCGAGGGGTATATACAGTGTCATTCATAAAGTCGGCATCATATTGGAAAAACTTTTATTAATGACTTATTTTGGAATTCGAGTTGGATGTTAAGTTTTGCTTCAAAAAAGATGAAATATGGCCTACTCAATCGGGGTCACGTGACTTTCGCTACATGTCAAAAGTGACATTTTTTCAAATTAATCGCTGAAAGTAGGCTTATTTGTTTGAATATCGGAAAAGATTACTTGAAAAAGTTGTTTCTATTTCAATTTCACGCATGATTCTCGAATTTGATCGCTCTATTGCAACTTTTAGAATTTGATTTTTTTTCAAATTCTGAGAAATTTCTGTAATATTTGAAGAATTGTTGATTCCACGAAATTACTTCATACCAGTAGCTTTTTCATGCTACTCACTTCAAATTATTTATTATCACTGATTATGGACAGAAATATGATTTTCTTCATAAAATGATAATACCCGCTTCCGAATTCTGTTATGTTTGATGCAAAGTTGATATATTGTCAAGCATTTAGAAACGAAATTCATTTAAACTGATCTTTTCAGTACTGAAAAAATGAATTAGAATGAATTTCGTTTCTAAATGCTGGACTCAAACATAACAGAATTCTGATGTTATGTTTGCATCAAACATAACAGAATTTTGAAGCGGAGATTATCATTTTCTGAAGAAAATCATATTTTTGTAGATAATTAGTGATAATTAGTAATTGAAAGTTAGTAGCATGATGAAGCTACTGGTATGAAGTAGTTTTATCGAATTTACAATTTTTTAATATTACAGAAATTTCGAGAATTTTAAAAAAATATCGAAATCTAAAATATGTAATAGAAAGATGAAATCCGAGTCACATATGTAAAATTCAAATAGAAACAACTCTTTCAAGTAAACTTTTTCGATATTCGAACAAATAAGCCTACTTTCAGCGATTAATTTGAAAAAATGTCACTTTTGATATGTAGCGAAAGTCACGTGACCCCGATTGAGTAGGCCATATTTCATCTTTTTTGAAGCAAAACTTAACGTCCAACTGGAATTTCAAAATAAGTCATTAATAAAAGTTTTTCCCGTATGATGCCGACTTTATGAATGACACTGTATACGATCGCCTGGTAATAATTTCATCTATTATTGAATACTTCTCACCACAAGCCAAATAATTGCAAATGGACCTATTGTCACTAGAAAAACCCTTCTTTTCAATTCCAATCAAAATCTAGTAGCCATGACCATGACAGCATAATGACAAGTTGTTATTGATAAGTACCTACTAGATTCCAGTGCCATTGCTGCGAATCTCACATCAGAACGGGGAGGTAGGGTTAATTATAACAGAAGTGGCTGTCTTCATTGGTTGGAAGAAGAAAATGACAAAAATCTATCTTGGTAGAAAAAACGCAATTTACGCCTTGAAAATGTGTAAATAATGGCAGATTCTATATAGCTGGTGGTGGATAATCTGATTTTTATACAGAACTGTTGTCTGTTTTTGAAAATATTCAAGTTCCGTTGAATGATGGGCCAATCAACGATGTTGTACCAAAATACAGGCTGATTTTAAAATGAGTGCATATATTATTATTCAAGACATATATATGAGAGAGTCTAACAAAAATTACTAAAATATTTGATTTTTCCTAAGTCTTCACATTAACGAGAAATTTCATTTTGAAAATTGAACATAAAATGCTTCGAAATTCGAGTACGCCACTGGGAAGCAAGTGAAATCTGCGGAATCCCAGGGAATCCCCAATTCGTCATTCGCTACAGTCAAAACAAGACAGTGATGCCAGATTGTTTCAGAGACGAATATCCTGATAAAAATTTGTCACAGAATGAATATGAATTGAAATAGGTTATGGAAACTAATAGAGGTGAATGTAATATGTACAGGAGCCGTATTTTTCAAAGTTTACTGAGAGAACTGTGGGGTGATTATCTCTATGGATCACGAGAGACGGAGAGAAACATGAGGGGAATGATAGAACGTCCCCCTTCCTTCAATTCGAAAATAAGGCCCCAGCGGGTAGATACAAAATTAGCAGACAATAAATAGGTACACAACATACACAAAGTTGAAAATCGACTCACCTAGTAGATTTTCTCATACCTGCTCGAACAGCAAAACTCCCGAGAGCAAACAAATACTAATATCGAGTCCATTCCTGACTAATATCGTCCTGTGTTCTCGTTGGTTCATATTCGCACTTAAACCATCGAAAACGACTCGACGACGACATATCCTTCCTGGCAATCTCACATTGAAAATCAGGATCACGACCATACCACGATTATCACGACACAAGACACAACATCCAATTATTTTTTTTTTATTTTACGTTTACAATTATTTTTCAAACCAGCAACCACACAAACAAAACTTTTTTCATGTTTTTGTTGACTTTTCCTATACCAATGTAAATTGGTCTATTGGATGAATAAATATTTTATTTTATTCTATTCTATTCTATTATCATATGATCTGTCAACATCATTTCTCAGAACAGTAGTATCTGTGACCACAGATTTCCTCTTTGTTGTGACCTTTGACAGTACTAACTAGGATTGTTCGCGTTCAGAAAATAAACAATCCAAAACCGTCAGAAGCATGCACAAGTCCACAGAACCCAAAAAAATCATACAGTTCTGTGAAACTGCGCATGCTTCTGACAGTTTCGGACGCAAGAATTCAGATGACCATGAATTACTAATAGGCGATTTCTACGGACCAATCAGAAACAGCAAAGTAGCGCCTGCGTGGTTGCGATTCATCCTGATTGGACACAGCTGATTGGATTTGTGAGATTAGTGTATAGTGAGGAAGTATCATTTTATTGAATTAAACTAATAGATGTTGTTTCCAAATTAGTTTTCAATGAAAATGGTAGTTTCATTTAAAGATATGATCCTTCCTCACTAATACATTAATCTCAATCGCCTGTGCCCAATCAGGATGAATCGCAACCACGCAGGCACTACTTTGCTGTTTCTGATTGGTCCGTAAAAGTCGCCTATTAGTAATTCATGGTCATCTGAATTCTTGCTGGTAGCACACCATAAGAACAATCAAAACAAAGATCCTTTCTTGACAGTTTGTTGTTCTGAGAATGTATGTTATTTTGGAAAACGTCAAAACGTGATACTAGTAAATGTAAACAGTGTGGTCCTTGTCATTACTTTTGTAATAGATCTATTACTATTCCACGGAGATTGTTACAATATTACGATTTGTCATGGATCTATTACTATTGGGTGTTAGCACCAAATTATGATGTTTTGTTACTGTTAGCACCAAAATATGATGTTTTGTTACTAAAAAATCTATTTCTGTGTTCAGCGGATAATTATGTTCTGCTCTATGGGTCTATGTTCTATATTTATGTCATAAGTTCTGTGTGACCTGCCTCATTCCTGCCGAAACTGTCTAATTTGTGTGATATGGTTTTACAAGAATGACATTCAGAATGTCAAATGTCAGATTTTTAGGATCTATTACCTTTTGATACAAATCTGTTACAATTTTCCAAGAAAATCTATTACGAAAAAATCAGACCCAGGAACAACACTGAATGTAAAGTTTTGTTTCTGACAATTTGCTTGAAATGTGACGATGCATTTCTCAAACATTGAGCTGAATGATATGGTTCTTATGTCGGGTCGTTATTGTGCGGGGCCCATGAGACTCCTCGAAGACCACGAAATTGTAGCGATGCAAGGAGGTGGAAGGAAGGGTCTAAAGGATTTTTCAGTAAAATAACTTCCAACCGTGAGGTGTTAAGTTATACGCTATTCGAGCTTATGTGTAGAAATCTTGGGTGAGTCCATTTTGAAGTTTTTGTATTATCTTTCTGAAATTCAAGACCAGGGCTAACTTCTTCCCCATGTACATTTTCTCGATTATACATTTTATTTAATATCTCCTAATTTTCATGAAGAGTGGCAACGTCGCTTCGTTCATCACGGTCGACTGCGGATCGCAAACGATAGTTGTGACAGAAGTAGAAATCTGGGCGGAAAAAGGGTATTTTGCCCCAAATCTATTTTGATCCTAATAATATTTTTAATAGTGCTATTCGGTAGTATACCTCAAGCTTTCTTAGTGTTTAAAATATATGCACTTATTTTAAAATCAGCCTGTATATTTGTTTCAACTTCGAAGAGAATTTCTGGTCAAAACCGTCATACCATTTTGTTTCAGTGAAATTCAACTGAAATCCAAAATCTTAACAAGAATTGAGACTATACCTTCCATTTAAAATAACATTCACGAATTTCAAGTCCGTACTTCATCATTTACTCATGGAACAATGCTACGTCAAATATCGGATAGTTTCAAATTGCTCCCCTCAACATTATTCATTATCGAATTGTGACAGTATTCTTCTTAGGTAGCGAACAGCCTACGTAATCTATGCAGTCAGTGTTTTATATCACTTTTACAGTGATCTTCGAAAATCGATTAATTCCACTTCACTTTACCTATCGAGTCTTTGTCGATGAAAGTTATTTTGTAGTTGCCGAACGAGATGTCATCGAGTGCCTCGAAAGCGTGCGTTTCTTCGTCGTACTGTTGGGTATTGCTTCGGTCGAAGGTGAACTTGTCCCGCACCTTTGTGGTTTTCACGTAGAAAAAGGACTTGTCACTTGAATTTGCCATTTTGCCGAGAGGGAAATACAGTTCACACTTGCTTCTACCTTTTTCTACGAGATTCGTCAACATCACTATACATTTAGACTGGAAAGAAAAATCAAGTTCGAAATACGTCGAAACTAGATGAGTCACTGAATGGTATCGGTTAGATAAGAGTTCGGACACAGCTGAAGTTCTGTCCTTTTCTATTTTCAATATTACAATCGTCTGAGTGAATGAAAGAATAAGACATATATTCTGCTCTTTGCCTATGGGTTGCGTGCAAGAACTGTCAGATGACCGACGCTGGAGGCACAACATTGAAACACAACCTCACTTTTCTTATTTTTTTTACAAGTGATCGAAATAGTTTTCCACAATTATTTTGGCTACGAATCGTATTTTTTCGCTAAGCATCAATTCGCTCATGCCATCACATTATGCTGTTGTGAAATGCACAGAAACTACAGCGGAAGACGAAGTAATCCGGTTGGTACATTATGATTTAAAAGTAAGTACATACCTACTCTAGTCACTCACATATAGTTTTCGTTTTTGAAATTTGGTAATTTCTCTGATTTCTCATCGGAATTCCTTCTGCGATAGGAGCATAGAAATACACCTGAAATTTCTAAAATAATGCAAGAAGATTGGATTCATGCAATCAACCGGGAGGACTGGTCTGACATGCTGACGATCGTGTGTGTTGATGACATTTTCAATCTATTAGCAGTATTAGCTTGTATTGCAGAAGTGGCAGAAGGCATTTTAATAAGGAATGACAACATTTCATAATGATAACTATGTGAGATTACTATTTACCTGAAAAATCATATTCTTCAGTCTCTTGCTGCATTTTTTGTGCATTGTACAACAGCACAATGCGAAGGCATGCTCGAATTAATGAATAGCGCAAAAAACACGATTCGTATGCCAAAATATTGTAAAAAACTATTTCTATCCTTTGATTCCTCTGTAACCAAATAAAAAAGTGAGGTTGTGTTTCAATAATTTACAGAAGAATGAGGTTGTGTTTCAATATTTTGATTGTATTTTGCCTCCAGGGTCGGTCATCGTGCACGCGACCTATTCAATTTCCCCAGTAGCGCCTGATTGTCAGATGCGATTTTAGAGGTTAGATTTTCTGTCAAACAAAGCAGAGCCATAGATGGAAAATTGAAATTGGATATAAACACCCATGCCATTCAATGATACATTCATTACGTAGTTTTGCAATCAATTCCTCTTTCTCCATGTTAATTTTAATTTGCATTTCGTGGTATGATAATATTGGATTTTTTTTCGATAGTCTGTTTTGTAAATTGATGGAACAGCAGATTCTCTCAAACGGATCTTACAATCTTCTGTTCGAAAATGGGCCTACTAAAATATTTCATTCTAATTTGCTGTTATAAAAAGTGGATTTTAATGTACATAATGTAGGTACCTCACACAATCTCCTCGTCTTCAAATTGAATTTCCATCAAGGCAGTTTCATAAACATTCCTTTCATAAGAGAGTGGTTGATATTTCCTTTGCAAAACTGAATAAATGAAATCTATTCTCTTCAGAATTCCCAAAATGTATTACACAGCAGGACATTTTCATGTATGCTTGCTTCTCAATAGTTCATGAAATTATATTTCAATTCTGACGTTCATAAAATTTATTGTCAAATTCAAACAATTAAGAATGCAAAAGTGCGGGGCTCTTGTCACAATGCAAGGTGTGTAACATAATATCTATATAATCTGAACATTCAAAAACACTGACAGCTGTCATTCCTGTGTCCGAACTCTTTTCTAACTAATACCATCCTGTGAGTCTAGTCAAAACCATAGACATATAAAAACAGGGGAGACGAAATTGTATACATTTTGTTCCGATCCAACATCGTTTTCAGCAGAAAACGATGACAAATTTCTGCGGACTGCCCTATATCTACCTCCTGTGTTTGAAAACGAGGAAAGCATTTATCATACATTAATTATACAGGATGATTGATGTTTTGGGGTACAAACTGAAATGGGTGATAGATCTTATCATTTCAATTGAAATAATTCATATTAACATGAGTATCTCGATCAGTAGCGGATCTAAAGGGTGTCAAAGTTTAATTATTTTTTCAATTTGGAATTTGGTGGGGTCAATACTTTCTAGGAACTCGTCATTTTGAGAGTTTTGGACGTATAGGCCTCTTAATCCCGCCAAACTTTTTCGTAGTACGCCTGATATTTTCCAATTACCAAATACGGTGGATCGCTCAATTTAATGGCTTTTTTTTGCTCCTCAATTTTTTCCGAGAATCCAACCGCTATATCGAGATAAATATAAAAATATCCGTTCTTAAATATGTTAATCTCATCTATACTTACCTCTTGAATTTTATTCTTGGCAAAGAATTAGTTAACAATGATATATGAAATATACGAAAGAAATAATCACATTCCGCTAGAAGATTCTTCACGACAAGTTGAATGCTATTTTTTCTGAATGATATTGAAATAGATATTGGATAAGGAATATGGATTCAACTGCATGGGGCTGAACCAGTAGCTCAACACGATTCTTTTGCGTCGTCGTTGGATTGGTCGGTTAAAAGCAATCAGACCTTCTATCCTCTGTATCCTCGCTACTGATTCAGATTGGAATTTGGTATATTTTATTGCGTCAACTTAAAAAAGAGGGCATCTATATAACCAGTGACTACACCAAACAAGAATACCAAAAACGAAAATTACTGCATGGGAAACTGAAGGATATCAGAAACACCGGAGCCACTGCTAAGAAATCCAGAAGAGGAGTCGAGGTCAACGGGATAGAATACACATTCGAAGAATTCGAAAAATTCAATCTACAGTTGTTAAAGGAGATTGAAAATACTGGAGAATTAAACAAAATAGAAAACAAGAAGAGGAAGGACAGAGAAGAATAGAAAAATTTTTTCTACTTTTTTGTTATATCTTCAATTATTACCTTTGAATATTGAATAAAAGAAAGCGATAATGTAACAATTCATAAGAGAGTATACCAATGAACCAGTCAATACATTGGCGATCACGAACTTACAAGAACTTAATGCACACCTTTCGAACAAAACAAAAAATTATTTTAAACTGTTCCATCTGAATATAGGAAGCTTATATAAGAATATAGATGAACTCAAGATATTACTTAATCAGATTAATATTGACTTTGATTGTCTGATTCTCACCGAAACATTCAATATTATTGATACCTCTCACCTTCAAATGGACAATTACGATCTATTATATAGCCATGGAGACATCAATAAAAATGATGGAGTAGTCGTTTATGTTAGAAATTCCCTAAAATACTCTTTCAACACAGTTTCAATCTCATCATGCAAATCAATAAAATTGAAAATTCATGGAATCAATAATGAAAATACACTTATCTCTTGTATATACAGGCCGCCTTCAACAAATCTTGAATTTTTTCTTTCAGATTTCAAAGTTTATTTGCAAAACTGTAACGATAGGTCTGTATCTAGTCATCTTATAGTTGGAGATCTGAATATAAATATCAATGATGACAATGACTGTGTGAATGAGTATCTTGATACCCTCAGTGAATATGGTTTCATCTCTTTGATAAACAAAAATACTCGTGTACAGGGTGAATCAGCTAGTTGCATCGATCACGTGTTCTTGAAAAGCGGGGTGGATGAATTGGAAAAAAAGTGTCTACAAATTATTTTCGATGCGAATATAACAGATCACAAAGTTATAATAGTATCAGTTCCAATATATATAGATTATGAGAACAATAAAAACACTGAACACGTAAAACAATATATAAATTATGAGACAATAAAACTCGAACTACGGAACCATAACTGGGATACTTTCTATCTATCAACTAATCCAAATGAACTACTCGAGCATAGATTAACGACTCCCCTAGATATACACCGTGAATGGGGATTTGGTCAACACTGAAATTAGTGAAACAGAACATACACAGATGTCTCCAGTATCCTTGGTGCGAATAATTCATCCGAGGTCCAGACAGTCTGTGGTGTATTTATAGCGCCGTGCACCCTCGAAACCGGCTATACGTGACAGCGTTGCCAGAATGTGGCATACACTCTTATTACTATTCTTGGATAAAAAATCAGATCAGAATAAAAATAATTATTCTGCATCTTCTCTATAAAAATGAATGTTTGTCTGTCTGTCTGTATGTCCTCGATAAAATCGTAAACTGCTCGACTGATTTGGATAATTTTTTTTGTTTATTTCGTTATAGTTCAGGGATGGTATAGGTAGAAGAAAAATTGAAAAAATCAAATATGGCAAAAATTGAAAAAATCAAATATGGCAGACGAGTTTTGTAATTATGGACCGATTTTATTCAAAATTGGTAGCTGGGGGTTTTCGGGGTCGGAGATTATGATTCTTTCGTCAAAATTAGGAAAGTCAAAATGGCGGATTCAATATGGCGGACGAGTTTTGTGATTATTGACCGATTCTAAAAATTGGTATCTGGGGGTTTTTGGGGTCGGAGATTATGATTCCGTCGTTAAAATTAGGAAATTCAAAATGGCGGATCCCTTATGGTAGACGAGTTTTTTAATTATGAGTAGATTCAATTGAAAATTGGTATCTGGGGGTTTTCAGGGTCGGAGATTATGATTCTTTCGTCAAAATTAGGAAATGCAAGATGGCGGACGAGTTTTGTAATTATGGACCGATTCTATTCAAAATTGGTATCTGAGGGTTTTTGGGGTCGGAGATAATGATTTCGTCGTCAAAATAAGAAAATTCAAAAGTGGGATATCAAATTATCATTATTTCATATCATTTCAGACTGCTTTAAAATACCTATAGAAATTCAAGAATATACGGCAATGTTATTACGGTGAGGCTCTCACAATTAACGATCATATTTCTTGGGTTCGAAACATGGAAAATCTAATTATTACCTATTTTGAAAAATATAACGTTATCAACGTTTATTTACGCGTATAATTTGAATTAGGATTACCTCGGAGTAATGACGGTCGAATCAGAAACAATTGTGTAAACGATAGAAAATCTACTGCCATCCAGTTCTAGGCATATCAAAAAAATTGTTATCGC